AGGGCTTGTGAAGTCACAAGGATTATCACAAGTGGCAGAATTAATTACAAGTCACTGGAGAATGGTACTGAAAAAATCTGTCAAGTTGATTTGTGTGCTGAACCTATTAAAGAACTTAAGCCAAGGTATCATATGACAGCATTGAAAACTTTAATTGCCAAGAATTATTTTGAAGATGATGCTCTAGAACAAGCAAGTGAAATTGTAACTTCATTGGAAAAGCAAAAAGTATTGACAAGCCAAGAGAAAGCTAAAAACAACATTTGTGGGAAAAAACAACGTACACTTGACTATTTTGTTAAAAAACCGTTGGAAATATCACTTCTTCAATGTGACTCTATGTCATCAGAATCTGAGGAAGGGTGATGTATATTTTTAAAAATCATACTGGTAAATATGACAGGCAAAGTATTAATGCCAATAATACTGAACTATTAAAAATATTAAACAGGATCATGTAAATTTTGATATTATGTTTGAATATATTATTTTGTTATTTTAAATGGTAATTCTTCTAATGGGATTGTTGTGTAGTAGTTATAGTATGTATTGAGTGCAAACAGGCTGCATTTTGTTTCATGGCCCATCCATTTTCACAAAAAGTAATTGATGGCCCACCCAAACTAATGAAAATAATTTCATGGCCCATCTTTATTTCCTCCGGCCCACCCTAGCAGTTACTTTATGACCGCTCCCTAAGACTATATGAATTCCCGGCGCGAAAATATGTGCTTGCCGTGTTGTAAACAGCGAGCACGCCGTCCAAAATTCCCAAGATTAAGTTCTTCATTATTAGCCGTTGCGGTGCATGTCTTCGCTGACGTCGTATATCGGCTTAAGGTTCTGATTAATGAGAGTTAGATAAAACGTAAAACATTTCATGAACTCGATCATTCCAGCCGTATCGGTTAAATGTTTCTGTTTGTTGAATTACAAACGTTTGCCAAATATTCCAAATTTGTATTGAGTTAGGCTACATTGCAGTTCAGAAAGATATTTGCATGTAGCCTGTATTCAGTGGAAATTTAATATTCCATTTGCCGACACTGTTTTTAAACAAGCTCGCTGACTGTAAAAAATCGTAAAGTAAACAAGCTGGGATTAAGTAGGCATTCCTGCGAGGCTAAGCAGGGTTATGTTTTGTTTTGTTTATTAAACAACTTTAGCTTTTACTGTACGTTGTCAGATCATTCTTACAAGTCCATTTTTAAGTCGCATAAAGCTTTTCGTGGATGGTAAAACATTCCATGTTAGAGACGGTAGAAAGGTGAGATTTGTCTTGTTCTTTTCATTATGCAAATCCTTCTCAGTGACGCTTTAAAGTTATACTTATAGCTTAAATTTCGTTAATCGATATTAGTTTAATCTGCATGATGTGGCGACAGTGTCTGTATAATATAAGTAACCTAGAAAATTAATATTTCTTATCTCTTTTTCTATAACAAGACTCAGTACAACGTTTATGGTGTGTGCTTGTAGATGTAGGCCTAATTCATGAAATGGTTAAACGAGAATTACCACTGATACAATTATAGCTTTCAGTGTTCTAAAACTGACCTTACTCCCAATCGCTAAATGAGACAGAAGTCACAGTCCAGTACGGCTTGAAGCGATAGAGAGAGACCTCCTTTAATTGCATTTGTAGTAGGTAAAATACGCATATACGCACAAATAAGCTCTCGTTCACTTCTGAATTTTTGCAGAGAAATATGACTTCTTGAGTTATTGACCGTTTTAAGGAATCAGTATAACACAGAGCATTGCTGAATGTAAAGGTAATGTTTGTCGGAAAGTACTCCTACATCATGTCGGATATTGCTCACATGTTTTCAGTCGGGGGAAAAGTCAGTACACCAATTATTACATTTTGTACGAATGCGAAACTTTTGTTGCAGCTAAGTTGCTGGATCATGCAATTTACGCAATTAATTTTAACAATCTAGCTGCCATGACACACGATTATATATATACTTGCAATATAATGGTTTTAGTTGCTCAAATGACTTTACTGAGGAACCTGTTAAAGGTAATATATAAAGATATAAATATGAAAAAAATTTAGTCCGCAACTGGAATATGTAAGATAGAAGTTGCTTTAATCAGTTCAAATTTTGTCTCGTGCTTATATGAATTCTATTATAACAAGGCAGCCATCTTCCATTGCGAAATCCTGGCATTATGATATTAATGTCCTGAATTTTTGGTTATGAGCACACACGATAAACTTTAATATTTATACTTAAGGTCTATTTAGACTACACGATAAGTTGTATGCAATTATCATTCTGACTTCTGAGGAATGCAAAAGAGTGCCTATGCCACAATCTTCATTCAATTTTGTTCAGGTTAGAATTTAAAGTGTCACGCTGGTACGTGTGTTCATACGTTCACATTCGCCAGGGTACGATTTCGAATCGTATACGACAAATGCATAGTGTAAATGGGCCTTTAGGATAGGTTGTAATTAATTATTCCAATGATCGCCGTATACAGTAATGAGAGTTACTGACAGATATTTGATTCTCAGGGCTGCTGTGAATGTGATCGTCACATGACAAGCTGACTTGTAAGTGTTGTAAGTGCATGAAGTCAAACATTGTTACCAAAGTGGTATCCCAGACATTACCTAATTCAGGCTAATTTCATCGATTAAAAGTTAAAACATAAGTTAATTTTACCGATAAAAACTCAAACGCTTTGATAACAACTAGCGATACAACCGACTGCTGTATAGTACGGTGGCTCACAGGGGCCACCCATATAAATAAGTAAATACCAATCCACAAAAATTCAAAACACAATTTAAATATTTCGAAAGGCACTTTACATGTTTTCAAACGCACTTTAAATATGTGCCAACACACTTTAAAAATTTTTAAACGCACTTTAAGTTTTCCAACACACTTTAAATTTTCCAACACACTTTAAATTTTCTAACACACTTTAAGTTTTCTAACACACTTTAAGTTTTCCAACACATTTTAAGTTTCTCAAACGCACTTTAAATATGTTCAAACACACTTTAAGTTTTCCAACACACTTTAAATTTTTGAACGCACTTTAATTACATGCGGGCTCATCGCATAATTACGCGCATGCGCAAGTCAAGGTTACTTTATTTTCTTTTTTATCCTGTCGTGCGCGGTGCGTTTTTTCACTCAATTTAATTGAACTTAAAAGCTCGCAGGAAAGAAGGGAGTCGAAGATATAAGCAGTACATGATTGAGACATATGAGTTGTGCAGGGTGCGGGAATGCTGCAGCTGATGCAGAAACGTACTGTGAGAATTGTGTATCGGAGAAAGAGACTACGGATCTTATTGTTAATTATTTTAACCGTGGATACCCATATGGAGCAACTGTTGTTCTTCTAACTAGTGCTGGTGTATCGACGTCTTTAAGAACACTAAAACGTCGTTTAAAGTCGTTAGGTTTAAAGCGAAAGGGGCAGGTCATTGATGAGCAACATTTACGAACAGTAATTCAAGAAGAAGTTGAAGGAGCAGGAAGGCTGTCTGGATATAGAAGTATTTGGCATGCTTTGAGGCTTCGCCACCATATTAACGTTAGTCGTCACGTCGTAGCGAAAATAATGAAAGAAATTGATCCAGAGGGTGTCCAAATGCGAAAGGCGAGACGATTACATCGTCGATTATCAGTTATGTTGATCTTCTCTTCCATTTCATTCAATTTTTTTTTGAAACCTCTATTAAACAGCTATCACCACTACAATAGTTGGGAAGGAAATACAGCACATCAGGAATTCCAGACACTGTTTCATTCTGGGGCTTGCGTATATAATGGGTATTCCAGTGGTCTTTCACTTTAGTTAAATCATCCTGAAGTATCTTGTTGAACAATACCATAATGCTTCCATGTGATATGTGTTGCTAATTTCCAATATTCCTTGCTCTATCATGTCTTGGAAGAAGCCCATTCATCATTACCATCTGACCTTAGATAGCACTGCATAGCACACATAAGAACGTTTTCAGTTCCACAGTCTGTACGGAATGCGCATAGAACAACCCCCAATCTCTTTCATTATTTTCGCTACGACGTGACGACTAACGTTAATATGGTGGCGAAGCCTCAAAGCATGCCAAATACTTCTATATCCAGACAGCCTTCGTGCTCCTTCAACTTCTTCTTGAATTACTGTTCGTAAATGTTGCTCATCAATGACCTGCCCCTTTCGCTTTAAACCTAACGACTTTAAACGACGTTTTAGTGTTCTTAAAGACGTCGATACACCAGCACTAGTTAGAAGAACAACAGTTGCTCCATATGGGTATCCACGGTTAAAATAATTAACAATAAGATCCGTAGTCTCTTTCTCCGATACACAATTCTCACAGTACGTTTCTGCATCAGCTGCAGCATTCTCGCACCCTGCACAACTCATATTTATCAATCATGTACTGCTTATATCTTCGACTCCCTGCTTTCCTGCGAGCTTTTAAATTGAGTGAAAAAACGCACCGCGCACGACAGGATAAAAAAGAAAATAAAGTAACCTTGACTTGCGCATGCGCGTAATTATGCGATGAGCCCGCATGTAATTAAAGTGCGTTCAAAAATTTAAAGTGTGTTGGAAAACTTAAAGTGTGTTTGAACATATTTAAAGTGCGTTTGAGAAACTTAAAGTGTGTTGGAAAACTTAAAGTGTGTTAGAAAACTTAAAGTGTGTTAGAAAATTTAAAGTGTGTTGGAAAATTTAAAGTGTGTTGGAAAACTTAAAGTGCGTTTAAAAATTTTTAAAGTGTGTTGGCACATATTTAAAGTGCGTTTGAAAACATGTAAAGTGCCTTTCGAAATATTTAAATTGTGTTTTGAATTTTTGTGGATTGGTATTTACGTATTTATATGGGTGGCCCCTGTGAGCCACCGTAGTATAGCCATGGTTTTATTTCATTTTATAATTCAAACCCAATTTTTGGTTTATATAGTCTTAAGATTTATGCACGCATCGTGTGATTCGTGTCAGAAGGTTAACACTGACAGACGTAATTTAAAACCAACACGCTGCCTTTATACATACATTGTGCTTACATATATTTGTCAGCTATGTGCCTATGTCTGCGTCTAAAAACCTGTCACTGTCGGACAATTATTCAATTCCAACTTGGCTCTCTTACTGAGGCTACTGATCATGATGAGTTTACAAGATGTCTTTGATTGTCGGAGTATGTTTTATCCTGTATAAGCCAATGAGTAAAGGGTGTTTGGTCACAATCACATACCTCAGCTTCCTGTAAACACATTTGGAAAGATGTCTGTTGTGAAATACGAAGATGTTGGATGCAGTTAAAGACTATTTAACACCAAAGACGTTCAGTATCCCAGCATACGTATGTTTGATTGCTCAACTTCTCTGTGGCCTAGTTGTTACAAGCATTGTTGTTGCTTTGAGAGTCGGAGAGTTTGCGAAATTTAACTGCGCTGTCGACCCTGAAAGTGCGGCCTCGTACAAGACCACCGTCGAGAAAACATGTTATTCAAGATATGAAGAGAAGTATAACTCTCCACTGCCATTTTATACCTTTGTCATCCTGAGTATTTGGTTTCCTATTTTTGTCGGTGTTATCTATTCGCTCTCAGTTCGTAAACGAGTTGAAGAATTCTGCGGCTCAAACGATGATCATGAACTACAAACTGACGCCGAAGCAGGAAACCGAGTACACGATAGGAGATCATTTTATGTGTTTTCTTTCTATTTTTACCACCTTGTCATCCGTTTGTTATTCGGGCTAGTGTTTACCATCCTGCAGTATGCTGTGTTTTTCAGCAGTGGTTTCGATTTTGAATTCAGTTGTGATCAATCAGAATCAGATGTGAGTCATGTGACATTGAAGATAGCAAAGAATGCAAGTGTCAGTCAGTTGAATAATACAACAATTGCATGTGAGAATTCGACTGCGTCGGAAAAGAAGTTATGGGCAGGGGTTGTGTGCGCACTGAATGCGATTTTTTCTTTGATAATATTCGTAGAAGTTATCCATCTTTACCTACGATTTCCCAGAAGCCTCAGAGTTGATCGCGTTCATGACTCTGAATTTATCAATCTTTATTTTTTTCGGAAGCGATACACAGGTGTAGGTTTTAAACTATCATTCTTAGAATGCATAGATTCATACAAAAAACAAGTTTTAGAACAGCCTCGAACACCTGACATAATCTATGGACCAAAGACTGGTTTAGATGATTTGTTTATTGACGTTGTTATTCACACTGGACGAACTTCTCACAAACAGCTTTGGTCTTCAACAGAATTGGAAAGACATGAAATTTTTGACGTTTATATGAAAGTTCCTGAACGGTCGATACGTCTGGAAAATGTAAAAGATTTATTTTATCCCAACCAGGATACAAAAAGAAATCGTCCTTGTAAAATTCTAGCGGTTGGCCGGCCTGGAATAGGAAAGACTGTTTTGACGGAAAAAATTATGCGCGATTGGGCGAATAAAATGGATAAATTTTATTCGGATAAGATTGCTTTCTATTTTAAATTTAGATGGTTTAATCTTACCGAATGGGAAGATAATGACCTTAAGACGTTCCTTAGTTTTGGAACCGGATTGCGTGATGAAAAATCTGAAGAAATTTTTAATTATGTAACTAAAGAACCGGAAAAAGCTCTTCTTATTTTCGATGGTTTGGATGAATTTAATGGCGACATCAAGAACTGCTTAGATCACCTACCACGTCAAAACGATCCTAATATTTGTATGCCTGGTATTTCACTTTTCATCAAATTGATTTGTGGCCACTTTCTGCCGGGAGCAACGATTCTTGTTACAACTAGACCAACTGCACATGAATTTTACGCGAGGTTTCAATTTGATAGAAATGCGGAAATCATCGGTTTCACCTCCGAAAAAATCGAACAGTATGTGAGCAAATTTTGTGAAAATCATGATGGAAGTGACCTAAAACCAAAGATATGGAATCACATAAAATCCTCGTCGGACTTGTCAAATCTATGTTACATCCCAGTAAACTCCTTCATATAGTTTCCACCGTACTGTTTCGTCATCTTAGTGACCCCTGTACCGAGACCGCTGTTCTTCCAACGACACCGACTGAACTTTACCAGGCAGCCATAAAGCATTTCGATAAGCATCACTACAGAAAGATAGACAAACAGTCCTATGAAGAAGCAATCAAGAATCTCCAATTCAGAGCATACAAAGGTATTGTACATGGGCAATTGGTCTTCGATGAAGAACTATTTGATGAAGAAATGAGAAGATCTGGTTTGTTAAACAATTTGTCCAACCCTATTTTCCCAATTCAAGCACAGTTTTGCTTCATTCATTTGACTATACAAGAATTTCTTGCCGCGAAAAACGTGACTGAAACGCAATCCCCCGAAGAAATTAAGAATTTTATTTCTAGCAATGTTAAGCATGCATGTAAATGGCATTTGGTGCTACAATTTATTGCTGGAATTTTGGGCCAGAGAATGAAGATGTCTACAGAAGAGTACCAGCGCTACAAAGATTGTGTTTTGGCGTTCACAGAAAGCTTCAGAATTGGCGATAATAATAAACTTGAGCTTTGTGCTGATAATAACTCAGTGTTTGTGATGAAATGTTTGAGGGAAGCGGGCAATATAGATATTGTTAAAGAGGCTTGCGAAAAAGCTGCTATGAATGATGTTTTAAGGCTATCCTACAACCATGGTCCACGGATCCTTTCATCAAGTGAGTGGGCCGCGGTGTTTTTTGTTTGTAAACAAATGAAGGAATTGACGGATATATACTTAAAGTTACCCGATTGGAGTGATGAAAGTTACATGGAATTTTGTAAATTGCTACAACAAAGATGTATAAAAAAATTGTCGTTGAAGGCACCTGGTCTTGATGTCACATTATCCAAATTAAGAGATCCTCCCTTGGCAAAACCTTTTTTTGAGGCACTAATGAAATCAATGTGTACATTGGACCACCAGCATAGTGAGCTTATTAAATTAGAGCTTCGTCGACTTTCTACAGATGAAAGTTTATCAACGATATTAGATTTTTTTAAGCGCGGACATGCAAGTTACCTTGAAATATTAGCCCTGGAGAACGATGGCCTAACTTCAACTGGAATAGCCGAGATCATCAAAGTCCTTGACGAGAAACTTTGTCCGGAACTTAAAATTCTCAATCTCTCTTTGAATAACATTCTTGATGAGAGTGTAAGAATGTTGTGTAAAGCTCTTATTAAATGTCGCCAACTGAAGCTTACTTAGCTGTTCCTTGTAAAGTGTTTACTAACTGATGCATGCATACCTTCACTATGTGAACTATTTAAAGATGAAAACTGCAAGCTGACTGTATTGGATTTAAGAGATAATCGTGGTATAAGCGACGAAGGTGTTCGTATGTTGTGCGAAGATGCTTTAACAACTGAGCATTGCAAGCTGGTTGAGTTGAACCTTGATAACTGTTCAGTAACAGATCGTTGTATCCCCTGGCTGCGCAAGGCACTGATAGATGAACGCTGTGCACTTGTTCACTTATATATACGCGTAGGGGGATTAACGGCAAAAGGCAAGAACACCCTTCGTGAAATAGAAACCTATAAAGATTGTAAAGCTAGGGCGTTGAAAGTCGACTGCGACTGAACTCTGGTGTTTACATTGCATAATATTTTGGCTTGGCTGCAGGGACGCGGTGGTGTCATATTTAGCATTATCTTAAACTGGTATATGTTGTGTAAATTTGATCTAAATTCTAAAATCCCGGATTTTACAGCGAAAGTTATTATGAATGTGATTACCAGGCCTATAATGTAGTGAGCTCAAGTGCTCAACGGAAAAACTCACTCACCTGTACTCAAACTCATTGAGTAGTTTTCATTCTCTTAATTTGTAGCGTTTCTCCTGCGGTATTTCCACTCGAAATACCCTTACCTTAAATCTCTCTACTTGTTATATAGGTCCTGTGTATTTTAAATGTGATTGGTTCATTCGTAGTCTCATGACTTTAAATAAATGCAATGTTTCCCGCCAGGGAAACAAGTGAAAAATTGTTGCCTGCTTCTTGTCATAACAAAGTTAAGTCACTAAAGCGGTTCTTTTTTAAATGAAATTGTTGTGTAACATGCATGTTTTTGTTCCTATATAACAAAACACTTAATGTACATGCACTACCTGGGGAAATAGTGAGTTTTGTTTTCCCTCGAGTCTCAATGTTTCCCTCGACGTTCAGACTCTTTGGAAAACAAAACTCACTATTTCCCTCGGGAGCATACATTAAGTTGATATTATTATTACATCAGGATTTTCACATGGAACAGAAATAGCACAATTTATGTCAAACTTAATGAGTGTGACTGCATGTGAGTGAGCATGCAGTTGTAAGTACACATTACAATTATAACTTTATTTACAGAAACTGGCGATAAAGTTCTTCTAGTGTAAATCATGTCAGCGGTCAGCTTCAAGTTAGAGGGCCGCACCACGGCTAAATCAAGGGATAGCTACACCCTGACCCCTGACAGCATCGTCACGAGACCGAGAACTTTCTCCCAGTTCACACAGGGACGACGTCAGCGTAAGGTATCGCAGATAAATAGGAAAGTGAGTCAAAGCGCAATGGCAAGAAAACGAAGAGAATCCCGATATACAATGCGCTCATCTTCAAGTAACGTATCACATGATCCGTATTTGGATGCGGTCAAGGAGCTGGTAACGAATGCAGAACCACAAGGGTATTTTGATAAGGTATACACAGGTACACAATCGCTAACAAATGGTCGAGATTCTCTGCCATAGCTTATCAAAAACCACTGATCTTGTAATGATAATATTCACCATCACTTAATGCCAATTGTGTCTTCGCTTTTGTGATCAACAACTGTTTTTTATTGCTTTTATAGAATATTCCCAAAATTGAGCTGTTTCGTCGTGCCAGTAGACTGATTCAACTTTTCGCATCACTTTGTCTCTATAGTCATCAAAAGTAAGAATACCGCTGTGTTGTGATGTTGTTTGTGGACGAAACCAGTGGCGTCCCAAGCTTGATAAGTGGGGTGGACTTATTCATATATTCGTGTTTTGCATTATTATATATTCATTTCTTTTCAAATTGATTGTTTTAACGGTCTGCGAACATGAATATATGAATATGCCCACCCCACTTATCGATGCTGGCGACGCCACTGGACGAAACATATTTTTGATTGACAAGTGTGGCCAGTGAATCTGACATTCATTGCCTGCTTTTTGTTTTTAGCGAGAAAGCCAAGGCAGAAATGACGAAACACACGGTTTTCACAGAATATCTGAAAGGAGAAGACCAAGAGAAGGAGACGCTTAACAGTGATCTCTATTTTGACCTTTCTTATTTCAAAGCAAATCGCAAGGTAAAGATAATGCATGGATTTGCTTTCGGCCTGTCTGAATTATTGAAGTATTACAGCATTATGAAAGTAAACTATAAAAGCCCTCTATTCAAGTGTAGGTAAATTCTCGGAGCCTCTTCTCTCTGCATCAGATTAATCCTGAAAAATAGCTCAGCATTCATGACCATCTTGTACTGTTCTTCTTTGCCTAGATGTACGTCTCTGCTGAAACGAAACACGTATTGTCTTCGCCATCAAATGCTCGGACTGAGCAACAGATAGCTAAGGTATGGTAGCATTATAACGAGGTTACTGATATGTATTGACTTGATATTTGACCTTTTTCGTCTATTTGTAGGTTAAATACTGGCTTAGTTATATCCAGTCGTTTTCAGAATATCCACGGCGTATGCAACAGAAGTTAATCCAAGTTGGTTGGTACGAATGGTATGTTTACAACAGATTGAGAATGTTTTTGAATACAGGCTATCCATAGTGATTTTCAAGCCGTTTAGAAATAGGTTGGGTTGTGGTAGGGGAGGCACGGGATGGGGAATTTACCGCCTTTCCATGACCATCCAAGAATTAAGGTGGTCCAGAATGATGATGGGTGACTATGAGACCAATAATAACTAATTGGTTTTTTCATTTTCAAAAGATCAATTTTCCAATATTTTCAAACAAATTTTTACAATAATTTCAAAAGATCGGGAGACTTTCAGCTTATCAAGTGCATTATTTTTAGCCACGCAGCCAAAAGAGTGTTGATAAGACAAGGTCATCGACCGCAGGCCTTCTACTTTCTTCTCTCGGGCTCAGGTAAGAACAATGATCTCTTATTGAAGGTTACACACTAAACATGCAGGATACCCAGGAATTATTTATAACAATTGTTCATCATTCCAGCTGTGGTGACCGTGATGGACAAAAAGACCCAAATTAGTAGAACAGTGCATTTCTTGAAACGTGGAGATAGCTTTGGGGTGAGTGAGAGAGCTATGAGGTGTTGTACGAATCGTCACGGCATGATGTCAAGGCTCAAGATCTTTTCATCAATTCGACCATTCCGGATCTTCTCACGTCTTAAATCACTATTTATAAACCCCTTGCAATCCTTTCTGAATGTGCTCTCATACAAGATCAATTTTCTTATCCTGTCCCATGTGATTGAGTGTATTCAATTTAGGAACTGGCCATTCTTCACGATACTGTACGACAGTCAACAATCATCACACGAGAGTTCAGCGAACTTCTGGTCATTTCAAAAGAGGTATAAATAATGTTTGATACTTTTCATTGTGAAATTCACTCCAATGCTCATTCGGACAATGTCCCAATATCCTGTTTGAACCAAACTAGTGTAGTGGACGTACAATCCTAAATCCTTCGTTTTCTACCGTTGTCGATACGAAGTCGAGAGCCACGAACCCACGAACATTCCAAGAAGCCGTAAATTGACTAATATCGCTTTAAATGCATTATGCATGTTCTTTCTTGATTTAAGGATTTCATTGAAATATTCATGGCATCGCGAGGAGTGAAAACGATCACAGATCCAGACCATGTTGAATTCATCAGGTATGATTCAAGCAAAGTCAAAGTTTTATGTTTACATAGGGACGTTCGTCTTCTCCCATCCTTGTCATCGATTTATGGTATTTCTTTAGTCAATTACTATAGATCCAGTGTATCGTCAATCAGAACACAAGGAGTACTTGTAATGTTAGACCTTCCTATTCAGTCCAGAATTTTGACACAAAAATTACTTGAACATTTTGTCCCTACCACAGGAATATCAACTTCTTGAAAGAATGGCCAATTGAACTTCTCTCGGTGAATCCTAAGCGATGTCTGTTTCATTTCTTCAGGTAAGTAAAGTCATCGTGTCAAGGCAAATGAATCTCGTGCGATTTTCGCAATTATGTAAACGGAATGACTCTGCTTTTTATCTTTTAGGCGAGGTGCAGTTCTCGTCAAAGACAGCAACCGTTCTGACTGGATTTACGTCGTCAAATCAGTATGTTAAATATTTGAATCTTCGCCCAGCAACGGCTGTTGTCTTTTTAATTTCACCTAGACTTGCTACATACATAAGTATACATTATATTTAACGTATTTGTACTATTAATGAAATTTGTTCCCAACGAAACTATGATTGGTCTTGTTTCAGGGAAGCTGCCGGGTTTTGAAGAAGTTGAAGAAAGTTCAATCACGGTTGACTGAACACCAAGAAAGGGTGGTCGGATTTGAACGAGGTGGGCTAAGTGGAAATTTGCTTTTCGTTGAAGAATTAGAGCTGCTGTCCAGAAACTTTACTATAAACATGCAGTTCAGTCATTGCATTTTATACTCTTTCAAGCGCCGTTAATATGCATTGAAATGGTTATCTACTGTATATTCAATTTCTGTTTATTGTTTACAGTCATTTTTTATCTATATTTACCGCATTACTTTTATAGTCTCTAGCCGAATAGCGGAATCCTCGGATCAATTTACCAAGTTACGGCTCACAATCTCAGCTTTGAGTGCTTTCAAACCGAAAACGGGCACCTCAACACCCAACCCTAGCAACCACCCTGGTAATAACCATGGCAACAGCGCTCTCGATGGTCACATGACGCAAGATGACGTCATTAAGGAGGTGGCCAAAGCGCAAGTGGTTTCTCCTGGTGGAGGAAAAATACCGGATAGATGGAAAAAGGAAAGTAAAGAAAGCCTCAATGAAAGCATGCTCGGAAGACGGCAATCTGCTCCGGCCACAAGTAAACTGACAAAGGTGAGAGTTGGCCGAACCTCGAACCCAGAGTTCAATTTTTGAAGGAAAAGCTTGTGAAGAAGTTGGATATGACTTTTGCACTCTAGTTAAATGAATAATTGTTTTTCTATGACATGTGTTATATTATAAAAGAAGCCTATTTATTTTTTCCTTCCCCAACATGCAACCAAGGAATCAATTGGTCTACCTTCAGTCGGCAATGGTAAGAAAACTCTTCAATCCAGCAGTTCCTGGTCCAAACTTCGGTCAGCTTTAGGAAGTAAAAACAATGCTCCTGCAAAAAGACGAATTTCAAAAGCCAGCAAAGACACCTTAAGCCAAGGTTGGTCGATCAGTTGGCCAGCATACACAAACGTGGATATATTTTGGTTCTCACCTTTCAAGCATAGGAATTCTAAATAAAACACAATTATATATTTAGACCCAGAAGATACGCTTCCTTCCAATAAACTTTCATTTCTTGATGAAGAAGACGTGAAGGTACTTCATATAATCAATTGAATAACTGGAAAGTCTGACATAAATAGGCCGGATAATAGACTATATATAATAGTTACAACCCATCTTCCTATTCGCGCTCAGAGTTCCGAGTTTGAAGTTTTAACAACCCTTAATCTTATGCACGATTTATATCCAGAAAGATGAGAAGCCGATGACTGCGGATGATCAATACAAACCTGTGTTTGTCGAGGTCGCGAGTTTGACAAAGGGCGATACATTCGTGAGTGACTTTTTATATATTATCAAGGGCAGGGCGCTTATGCCTGCGATTGCATCATTCGATACCCAAAGCTAGTCTTTAACAATTGTCTTTTTATGTAGGGAGTCAATTTTATGTTTTTTGACAAGCAGCCGAGTCTCAGCTTGGTAAGTTCCCGGGGTATCATTTTGACATGCATGCATGGCGGCCAATCTTTTGCATTGTGTGCAAACAATTAGATCTAGTTCCCAGGACTGTTCTAGCGCGAGAGCTCTGCGATGGACTGATTTTCTCATTGTCTGTAGTCACTAATGCACAAAGTTATTTTCCTGTCGGGGAATGTGCCTGTCGAGAAATATATGTAAACCAGGCCATGGAATAATGAAAGAGCTAGAGGGATTACTTTGTAGTGCAAAGCTGGATGCAAAGTGCCTTCGTTATTTTGTGAAAAAATATGCGGTAAACTGGCTATAAGGCAAAGAAGTATAGTGTGTTTATTGGCGAAAAATATGTCATCAAGATATCAGCTGGCTTGGAAAATGACGGGCAACATGCATAAAGTGACGTACGCTAGAACATTAACATGAAAGGTTCCGATTTAAATTAAGGCATCTGCTAGCTCGCAGTAGTGTGCTGGCTCTAGTAAGTACATCTGCGAATGGCACTATTCCTGTGTTTTTCTTAGGTAAGCAATGGAGTCGAGTGCATTGTCATCTCAAAGAAGTTCTTTCTCAGTCACTGTACCGAGGCAATGAAACGAAGATTGTTACTCCAGGTACTGATCTATTATAAACTGTTCCGATGAGCCTGAGATGAACATTAATTAACATGCAGACAACTAGAGTATTTTAGTTGGGTGAAGCACGTTCAGACGTTCACTCCTATTTTCTATCACCCTAAGAAATTTTCCTGTGTTTTTACATGTGTAGTAATGCTTTGTTCTCCCTTTGCACAGGAACAGCCTTATCCAGACGATGAAACTCTTCAAAGGGGACTTCAAGATAAGATTAACTGGGAAAGCTTTAAAACTAAAACACTGAATAGTACAATGCATAATCTGACTCAGTCGATACGCCGCCTGAGCTTAGACACTTGAATCCTTAACAAGCATCATGCATTGCATGCAAAATTGCAAACTTTGCAACCAAGTCACTGGTCTGTGGCAAAACTGTACAATCCTTACTTAAGCAGATGCCATATTCAATATGTGAATCACACTTCTTTATGGGGAATTTTGGTGTGTGCATGTGGAGAGGGAAGGGGGGGGGGGCATGTTTTAGTAACAAATGTCACCATTTCCTCGCAGCACTAACAGAGGAATAACCAGACACGACAACATCGAAAATAAAGCCATAATTTAATGATTCTTCAAACAAGACATGATTCTGTTTCTTAACATCAGTTCTTTTAAAACTTTAGAAAACGACCATCAAAACTGTTCAAATGTTTCCCTGCATGTCTGCATGTTCTTCTTCACACTATTAATGGTACTTTCGCCACATACTGGTGTCTAAAAATATAATAATATTCTTTTTGATTTCACTGATGGGACATTGCTCACCTCTAGGCAGATAAATGTACCTCTTAATGTAATAGGGATGCTTAGTGGTAGAGAAAAGGCTTCCAAAAGGTATGAAATAGCCTTAATCAACTAAGAATTTTTTGCTATATCATTTTTGCTATATCATCATGTATAATGTCAATTATTGGTTATTCAAGGTGAAAAGTCGAAAAACATTTTTGATTTGATATTTCACTGCTGATTCGAAACAAATGTGGCAGTGTAAAAACAGGTCTATGCCAAAAACAGCTGATATAACCAGGGGGGGGAGAAGAGTTGTGAAGCTTTCAAATTTTTTTGTATTCTTTCAAAAGTTTTGTTGCATATACAAAATGCTGTGATTTCTATGTAATTTAGCTATAGAGGATTGCCTAATTTCGATACATACTATCACATAGAGAACTCCTGCCCTTTGCCGGTAAAGTCAACTCTCAAAATACATACTTTGTACAAATACCAAAATTACCAATGCAAATGTACATGTATAACACTAGGACTTTTAGAAAAATGATCCGAAAAAAGTATTAACACTTCTGACAAACCAAAAGGGAATGATGGACAGTCAAAATATTGCACACTTACGCTTCAAATGCTTATATTCGATCCAGTAATTCACAAACATACAAAGGCCGGCAACATGGAAAAATGGTGTAAATCTTCCGTTCTTACAAAGGATATATTTCTGCTGATAGCGAGATACCATGCCCAAGAAACCACTGGGAATCTTCCCTAACTTTGCCTTCTGTAAATAGGCGGGTAATTCGCCAACTTTAACGTTACTTATCGAGGACGAATTTGACGCCATTTTTAACTTTGGAAGAAGACCTCTGAAGAAGATGTACTCTGACCGCAATCCTTATGTGTAGTAACTGGACCATCGCAGTGAACTTGAATCACTGACTTGAATACAACTGGAGTTAGTTGCCTACCAGAGCAACTTTACGGTTTTTTTTTCTAAAAAAAGCTTTTGAATACTTTTTAAGTAATTAAGAGGCCGCTAACTTCAATATTTACTTCTCTGATTTGCCAGTTTTTTCACCATACTTAAAGATAACTGCCTCTATAGACGAGTTTTAACAGCATAAATACTCGAACCAAAAAGTGATCTAAACAAACTGTTTATCAAACTACACCAAAAAGCATTTTGCGATCGTTTGATCGCTTTACTTTCAAATTTAAGGCCGTTCAATCCCGCCCGATTTCTCACTCCAGTTGTAAAGTTCAGTGGACAAGCGTCATATTACCCAGAATGCAGAGCAAACATAGTGTTTTGCTATGACGTCATACTGTCGGAGAAGAAGCGATCAAATGTCAGTTACAAAATATTCATATACATTTTACAAATTCCATAGTACAGTAAAATGTCCCTCGGATTGCTTTAGTGGGATTTCAGACAGCATTTTTTGAACGTGAAAAGTTCCACGTCCACATGTGATCCGTATTTTAGCCGTAGCCATCGCCAGGGATATTCTTGTTGGGCCGAAACAGATCCGAATGCCGGGGATGAATTCTATCAACGACGAGGAACCGCACTTCACTGACCCAAAAGAAGAGGCAAAATACTGGCGAAATTTAGCCGAAGAATACTCTTCAAGGTCTGTGTCGTGTCGCCCGATATTCCATTTTTCATATGGCAAAAGATTGGCGGTGTACGGCCGCATTAAAGCCGAGAATTTTTTAACTTTTGCCAAACAGGTGTACTCAATGCTTTGTTGTTTTAAATATGACTTAGACTGCAAGAAACGAGAGAAGAACTAGACGAATTTCAGGAAGGAAGCCGAGAACTTGAAGCCGAGCTAGAGACACAACTGGAGCAAGCCGAAGCGAGGCAAAGAGAGCTTCTGTCTATCAAGACAAGACTAGAAACAGATAATGAAAATTTGAAGGTACAATTTCCGAATTTCACAAGAAAGCGTGCACGTTTAGACTTGCTTTAATTATTTAAATGCCCGTTACTAAATCCCACGTCTTATGGGTGTTAATAAATGTCTGTAAGCATATTTTCAATTGCATATTAAGTCTAATACTCGCAGTTTATCATAAAAAAATATTGTAGCCGTGTGCCTTTCTAATTAAATGTCCGCTCTTTATTGATTGTGTTTCTTGAAAACAGGAGAAGTTAGAGGCAAGCCAAAATGAATCATATCTAACAATAACAGCTTTACAAGACGAAAATGCACAATTGAAAGCGATACAGGATGAACTCAGGAAATACGTGAGACAACTAGAGCAGTCAAATGACGACTTGGAAAGAGCGAAAAGGTAAGCTTAGTTGTATACTCTTTCATTCAATAGATTGCCCCAACTATTGATGAATGAAATAATTAAATTAAAGAATTACACTAAAACTGGTCTTTGTTATTCAGCTATTTCTATTTATTAGCCATTAACTCGCATTTCCCACTGAGAATGTCTGGCATTTGCCCAGTGAAAATATGAAAGCTGTTTCACTATTCTGGAATTTGCAATGTCACATATTTTCAGTTTTGATTTTGGACTTTACATATTATGAAATGCTAAAATCAACATATTAGGATTATAGAAACAGCAAACATTAATATTCATTGTCATAAAAATAGAAGTAAAATTTCGCACATTGTTGGATAGACCACACATGCTGACATACAAATCGCCAATTTTATACAAACACTTCCAGGTGCATTTTTGCTATGAGTTTTTGCAATATTGAAAAACATTGATGTATATATATTAGTAATGTCAAAACATTAACAGGTAGAATGCTTCCTTGACATAATTTTCAATACTGAGGTGTTATTATATGCCTTGGCAAAGATCCCAGAGTAAAGTCTGGCAGGAATAAGGCAAATTTCTACAAGATTAGGACCCATCCGTGTTTGAAAGAAGTTATATTGAGAAATTATTTTTTCGGGCAACTGTTTCATACAATCATAGTCTTGCAATTTATGTCTTTGGGTTACTTGTAAACTTGCTAATATATATTTGTTGCATGACTACAAAGGAATTTTGGAGGATGCCTTTAATGAATTGTTTGACCTTCCACCCATGCAAAAAATATGTACATTCATGCATCTCTGTTACAGTCAAGGGAGCTTTAGTTTGGTTTTTAAAATGATAAAATAATTCTTATATCTTGCCTTGTGGTTAGCCAATGAGTTGAACAAGCTAAGAAGTGTTCATGTACATGAACATTGTAGATATGATTCATGAAAGGGTATTTTCTTCCTAGAGGCCTTAACAAAATAGTCTCTGGTTATAGTTTAACATTATTGCAAGAGTGTGTTGAAGGCCAAAGTAACTTCTTGCATTGATACTTGCAAATGAGTCACTTAAAATGCATGTAAACAAAGTCACAAAGAAACACCAAGTATGGAAAGGTGGAAATTGCTAAAATGGTTTCTAAAGTGAATTCAAACCCTAAACTGTATAGCTCTTGTTGTATTAAAACACTGAAACTAGTGACAAGCACAGATCAGAATTTGTATTCTTGGCTGTACTGCCCATCACGTAATGCCTACAATGATCTGACAAGTAGAAGTGACACACTTGTTCCACATGGGGTCACAATATAGAAAGACTTCCTGACCCATGCATCACACTCTTTAACATCTTACAACAACAGATGCTATTCTCTTGATGCAGGACATAAAAGGAAGGAAATAAGCCTTTCTTAGCAATATGGCACTTATATATCATTTACATGTTTTCTGGAAGTGTGCCCAAATGTAGATTATGTAGTACTATAGTGTTTTCTAGTCGCACTTGGCTGTGTTGCATTTGCCATTCTGTTTTTGATGCTCTCTCTTTGCAAACCATAATATGTTATACAATCAATTCCTATAAGGATGATTTGTTGCCTATAGTATTGATGAAAAATAAGAATATAAAGGCATATCCATTATTATTTTGTATGATTCAATGATGATAGGATTTTGATAATGTATGTAAATATCAATACTTTCTTACATAATGCTAACACACTAGAATCTTGCTGGATCCATTTGTTTTGACATAATTATTTCTTTGCAGAAGAAAATGTATTCTTGTCTCAAGTAATAATGCATTAGATTTAAAATTTAGCTTTGTGGAATTAAAATATTGCCAATTTTACTGCAAATTTCAGTGTAAATAATGCTCTTGAAATGCATTTTGTAACAGCTAGTTCCACAACAGAAAAGCCAATATTCATTTCCTATGTCTTTCTAACAACTATGATTACTGTTCTTTCACTTCTTTGTTTTATTAAATTGTAGTTTCCTGCTTGTAGGAAATATCAAGATAATGATACAATATGCAGAGTAATTATACATACATTTTAAAGTAATTTAAAGTTTTAATATGTTCAAAAATCCATTCAGGGTGCATAAGTCTTTTAAACCAAAGAGTAAAATCAAAGATATGACATTCTTTTTGTCTTAAACAACCTGAAAACCGTAAATGTTCCTTGTTTTATTAGTAATTTTCGCTTTGCCTAGTAGTATTATCATACATTTTCGCCTTGCCTATTTTCTATAGTCTATACTTTTCTAGTTTTTTTGAATAATCCAGTAATTTTTTTAGCTCATTATCGGGGGTCGAAAAGTAAAATAATTATATAAACATTTGCTGCTAATGTCTAATGGTTAAGTAAATATCTAGTAGCTAATTGCGAGCGACATTTAGGCTTTAAATAAATATTTCTTTGGTAAGGATTATAAAAAAGTGGCAAAGGATCAAAGGATCTAGAAGCTGGCCTCAGTAGCTTTTATCTAAATGAAAACCTTTACATTGAAACGTCGAACATTCTTCACAGTTCACTCGGTTTAAGACCAAAGTAAAAATACATACGATGCTAAAGAAAAACTTGTAAATTGTCGTCAACCGACAAAGCCAAATGGTCGAGGAATTGACATTTCATGATATTATGTCCATGTTTATGCATATTTTTTCCAAGTAAGAAAATTTAAAGTGTGTAAAAAGCCTACCTCCTCCGCAGGCCCTTTTCGGGCAAATATGGCGGGCGGTGATAGGTAAAAAGCAAAAAGCCTCAATGACAAAGTTATACCTGAGCTTTGATATCACGGACGACAAACATTTGATACTGGAATTTAGACTTGATTGGCAATTTATAGTTGCTTTACTTGGTAATATACAGTATACATAATGCCTATAGCTATAATCTTTTGTGACTGGTTGCTGGAGTGGAGAGGTATTGCATGTATTGAAACCATTTCATGAAATTTAGACTTCATTGGCAATCTATAGTTGCTTTACTTGGTAATATACAGTATACATAATGCCTATATAATCTTTTGTGACTGGTTGCTAGAGAGATATTGTATGGAAATTATTTCTTTGGTAGTCCAAGACTTTAAATGGCACTAATGGCACTTTTCATTTCTGATGCATTCTGTCAGTCATTGCCGCTATTAAAGAATACTTTCGTCAATTTTAATTCATTTTACACCTGAGATATTCTTTTTTTAATTTGTGTGTGTTTTTAAAATACTTAAACTTAAAATTTGACACTACAATGGGAGTATGCCCAATCTTGACTGGCAGCTGAACTGTATAATTAAACAATTTTCGTCTATTTTATCAATATATTTCAAGTGTTTTATTATTGCGGGGGGCTCGATGGCGTATTCTTTACGTTGCCATGGTAAAAGCCAAATATTGTACATTATCTTTGAATGCTTCTACTCCGAAGAAGCGCACGGCATTTAAAGTATTTTAACGATGTATTCAGCAGAAAATGTTAATTGAGCAATGTTTTACACATAGTTTCCATCAATTTAAAATGCTCGCAAAATGCATATCAGTCTGTGAAACATACTTTTTCTTAGACTTTGTCTATTTCACAATACGATATAGCTATATACTCTTAAGGCAAGCAGGGGACCGTGATATGATGATACATGGACGTTTGATTGTTGCGTAGTAACCACGTACGACACAATATATCACGAAATCAGCCATGTGTCAAAGTTGTCATCCCAAAACGTTCCTCTATTGAAATCAGACTTCTTGTTTTGAACGTGCGTTGTGACACCTCTGGAAATTTGAGTGAGCGAATGGTGCAGAATAATTATAACTTCCTGAACGGTCAAATAACGTAACGCATTGAACAATTAAAATGATTACAATTAAAACAATTTGACAAAAACAAGGCTTCGTTTTATCTTACAAAAAAGAACATCCGTTTTTTCTGTAGTCAGACTGGCAACTTGTTTATAATTTCATATTATGGAAATATATATGCATGTTAAGGCTGTTTTCCATTAAGCGTTTTACATACGCAGGCACACGCACGTAAAAAGTCTAAATCCTTGTACATGTTACCTTTGAAAAAACTAAGTGAATAATCGAAGGAACTTGGTTTTCTGCATATTTTAGTATGCATTAGTTGACCTATATGTTCAATAATAAAAATTTAAAAGCATTTATTTCCCGTACGTGTACGTGCGTATAAAAACGCGTAAGTGGAAGGCAGCCTTAAGTTGCACGGATATATTAATACTATCTTTACTAATTGTCAGTTCATACTATGGAAATAGTATGGGTATAGCAATTTTCCATGGTATTGATCTTGAAAATAAATATCAGTGTCAGTTGTAGAATGTTCTTGTATTTCTGTTCATTTCAGAAGTTATATAATTTCCAAGGCCAAGGGTATCGCAACTCGCGTTCGCCAACAAAAGTTCTAATTGCTAATCCACGCAAAGCCGGTTTCCGCTAGCGTTAATTTTCGCGCGAAGCGACATTTTATTTTTCGATCAAAGACAAAGCTGTCAACTGCAACAATTTGGGAACAAATTGCTCAAATACAAAACTGAATAAAATCGGAAAATATCGCTAGTGGAAAACCGACTTAACCCACGATATAAAAACAGTTGTGCCGTTCAAAATATGAATTTTGAACTTGATTTTCATTGTTCGCCGACAGTCGGTGATGTATTGCTGTAGCCGGTGACAAAGCACCGGCTATATTCTTTAGTGATACCGACAATAGCTATCGCCGACTGTCGGTCACCTTTGAGAATCACGCTGTAGTAGCTATTCCTAATTCGAATATCGGCACAATAAAAGATGATTTGTTACATTATAGAGTCACAGTTAGCTCATTAGAAGATTTCGAACAACGGCTCAATGAGGTATACATGGTTTTATTAATGTTGCATTAATAATTTTTTTTTTCATATATTAGTTTGCCTGAGATTTCCCTGATATGGACTAAAAAGTCTCACTGAAACTCCTAGAAGTTAAGCAATACTATCTAAGTGCCTAAATACCTAGCTATTGGGGGGGGGATTTGTTCGCGCAATAAACACCCTACCTAATTGGTCGATAAAATCACCACGTGATTGGTCGGTGAGAAATTTCCCGCCAAAAGTAGCTATGACCTTTTGCTAGTTCTTTCTACCCCCGCGAACAAATTAGCCTAGTAGGGAACGAGATTTATACCTCAAACCGCCTGTTCTCTTGCCATAAGACATAATTCTTGACATTGATGGATGTAGTTTATTTTAGTTGTTCTATAAATCTTATAATAAAAGCTTATTCGTATTTTCCACTTCATCGTAAAGTAACACACGTCATCATCACTGTTTCTCTTCAAATTCTTCAGGCGATTGAGCGAAATGCTATTCTCGAGAATGAACTTGATGAAAAAGAAACTTTGGTTGAAACTGTGCAAAGATTAAAAGACGAAGCCAGAGGTAGGCATTATAACCACCAGGGGCCGGTGGTATAAAACTCTTTAACTACATTCAGGGCCTAGTCGTTAATACAACTGGCCCCTGGTCCCCGTATATATAAGGTTTAACACCTTCACACTGATCTCACACATAATTTCTGTTTCTGGATATACAAATGATTTTACTAGGATCCATCTTCGCCTTTAATGGACAGATTATTTATATCTTCGCCCTTCATTGCCTGCGTTATAGTACGATTTTCTCAGGAAATTGATTAATTTCCAATGATGTGAGAAACTTGCGGTGAACACAACTTCATACTAGCACATGCATGCAACGTTTCAACGTTTGCATTCTTGCAGATCTTCATCAAGAGTTGGCGGTTCGAACGCAGAAGAACTTGGAGCTTGAGAAAACAGCGACGAAGAGCGATGTGGATGGAAAGAAAGACGAGAAAACAAAAACTCCTATTCATATTAAAAAGGACATAAAGACTGATCATAGTTCTATCGGCACTTCGCCGCATAAAGTTCAAAATGGCGGCACTCCACTTGCGCCCTCGGCAAGGATATCAGCGTTAAATATAGTTGGTGATCTTTTAAGAAAAGTTGGGGTAAGTTACCTTTATCTGAGTTCATAGTGGCAAACGTAGTGGTAACCAATGCTTCTCGGTAGCCTATACACCACATTATTGATACAAGATTACCAACCTTTCAATTTTTCCCACGGATTTTCAGTCGAATCATATATAAGTCAGATATAATCATATATATAATAATAAATGCATGACTCTATGATTCTTTGACCATTGATGGAATAAAAAATACCACAGTACCTGTTCCTATTTCTTGAAAACGTCCTAAGCAGTGGCGAACTTCATCCCTCCCCCCTCTGGCCTAAGACCCACTGCCCAGAATATACTCTACTAGAATTAGGTTTTTGGGAAAATGTAAAGTTATTAGGTTATTATATGGTTATCAAATGGGGCCCTTTTAATATTTTTACCCCTAGATGTGGTGTTCCCTTTTAAAATGTTTATTCTTGCCTCGAGTGAGTTTTATTTGCCGCAAAAAAACCCAGTGAAAAAACTGCATATGGTACATAGACTTTTGCTTTCTTCTTAGGCTTTAGAGTCAAAACTAGCGTCGTGTCGGAACTTCGTGAAAGATCAACCGAGAAGTATTAAAACAGTTGGTCTGCCCAATGGCTCATCTTCAGACTCTTCAAGGTGAGGGATACATGCATTGTTATAGATATAATAATTTTTTACAAATTTTAGTGATTTTAACAAATAACTCCGCAAACAAACAAACTGCACCTTTTTCTCACACAGTAGATGCTGTTATACTATAGCTGTGGTCTTCTTTAATCCAGTAATAATCCCATAATCTTAAATCACGAGTTTAATCCTTGGTATTAGGTTAGGTTTAGGGTAAGATTTAGGATAAGATTTAGTAATAATCCCATAATCTTAAATCACGAGTTTAATCCTTGATATTAGGTTAGATTTAGGGTAAGATTTAGGATACGATTTAGGATTAGTTAGTCAGATTTAGGATTAGTTAAGATTAGTCAATTATAAAGTCCTTCGATTAAGAGAAAAATGAGTCTGATTTTTCTAATCATCCATATTAAAAGCCTGTCATAATTTTACCTACATCCAATGGTATAAGCCCAATAAAGAATCGCTTACGACCCAGGTAATATTGCGCGCTCATATTTTAGCCAATCAGCCCTCAGATAGGCTGTCGAAATAGCAATCCATTTTACAGTATTTAGTCGATCATATCTTTTGTTATTCTTTATTAACCTGGCCGAAATTTTGTGATTATATAAAGCTATAAGAACTTTAGCTCTGACATAAATATGAAACGGAAGTATAAAGTATTAAATTATTTGAAAGCTTGAACGTTCGTTTGTGGAACGTTCAAAATAATATATTCAGATAGTATAGAGAACCAGACACAGTACTAAAATGCGGTGCCCAGAATGCTTGCCTAGAAATAAAACGTCCTCTCATTTCTAACGACATCACCAACTTACATTCTCCTGTCGGCCGCAGCCTGGTTGGTTGGTACATTAAGGTCAAAATTGCGCCGTTTTAAAATCTTCAGAAATAAAATATTTAGGCTAAAAATACTATCTAAAAATACTGTCAAAATGAAGAGAAACGTGAGACGAATAAACTGGTGTAGAGCCGGAAACTAGAAAAGCAACGATACAGAAGTCAAGGATTAAGCGTACTGCATTTTTAATTTGTTTAATAATTTTGAGCGATTTGTCATAAAGTTCGCTTATTGAAACTATACTTTAAAACCTTCGAAATAGAATATATTTGGCTCAAAGTACTATAAAATAAATCGTAATGTAAGACCGATCCACTTATTTAAGGACGAAAATTAAAAGAGAAAACCAACGATATGAAAGATATCAAAGACCAAACTTACTATTACTAGTAAAGTATAGCATAGTAATTTTGAGCGATTTGTCAACAATTCAATTTCGTTTGTCTTTCAAACGTCATAAATCGCTGCGAATACTCTTGTTTAGTAATATATTTAAGATCTGTAAGTATAATTGCTTACGCTGAATCGAATGGTGGTATTTTTGTCCTTCTTGGGTGCATAAAAGCAGAGATACACGCAATTATCAGAGTTTGAGATTGAAATTGAAAAAAGAACGTTCCTTTAAAAAAGGAATTTGGCAAACGTACAACAAGATTTACAGTAATAATTAGGAAAAAATTCCAAGTATTCCAAGCATGTGCAAGGAATTTTTACTAGGCGATTAAGGAAACGTATTGATGCGAACAAACAAACTCACAGGCAGAATATAATGCGGTGCCAAACTTGGCGCGGGCACCGCAATATAAAGTATATTTTAGGCTTTACACCAAGCTTGTTCAACCGACAAAATTAATCATATGACAACTAGTCCCAGTCCTTTCCCGCCATATATCAGATCATAGTGAAGGCAACCCAGGGCTCATGACCGGGTGGGGGGGGGGGGATGAACCCCGTAAATCGTTGTGTGTAAATATGGGTGACTAAGATTGAGCTATCCTTTTCAGAGTCGCAGCATTCTGACCACGAGGAAATGGCTATGCCATGCTCTTGATGTTCGTCATCGTCTATCGCCCGAGAGTATAATTTATCAAAATATCTATTTTGCCCTTGTAGAGTAACAGTATATATATAACCTATATAATATGTAATATTTGTTTTTATAAATGATTAATTGCTAGAACTCATGTTGAATTGTATTTTTCGCAGACAGCGATGAAATTATTAGTGAAATAAGTGAATTATTAATTTATTTAACACTCCTTGAAATCGGCACATTTTTTACAAAAGGTAAAACCTGACCTTTGGTCGGTGAGGTATTATAACTATGCAGAAACCTTTTATACTGAATACATTTTTGTTCCTCTGAAGAGTTGAGTTATATTTCTCCTTTGAAACAGTCGTGGATTTATGGTAAGTCATAATAAATTACACGACTTCATTTTAAATTTCAAAACACCTTCATAACAACGCATTTGGTCATGGATTTTTAAAGAATATTTTTAAATAAAACGATTTTAAGTGTAGTAATTTATTCTAACTTGGCCATTGCTTCGCAACGTCTTTGGGAAAACATTGTTTGTTGAAACTGCACGTCGAGCTGGTAAATTTTTCATCCTTGGAAAAGGCCATCGGCCAGTGTATACGATTTCCGCTCTTTAATTGACCCTTTAAAAATTAGCCTGCATCGTGTGAAGGGCATGCATGCCACACAATCAATTTAAGCAATTTATTTTAAACTAAGAAGCTATGTTAATTACAGTGATTGTGGCAATGCAATGCGTTTGCGTAGTTGTTGGGGCGTAATTTCCTGTATTAAACGAGGTGGAAGAATGTGATTTCCATGTACCCAGATTTTTCAACGCGCTTACATTTGCTCATTTTTCCTCCATATTTTTAGAACACTGTTCTTTCGTAATACCGAAAACTTACACTCGCTGTACGTATAATTACTAAAATACATTTCGGGAAGTTTTCAGTCAAGGCTTTTCGCGCGTATAGTTATGCCCTAAAACAAGCAGGAATTTCGTTTTAAACTAATCGCAACATTTGTTTACATTTTTTAAGCAAAGCCAATCAGAATGCCTACATATGAAACACTTCATGTAAAATGGTATATATTGTACTGAAAATGTAAAGAAACTTTCTGACTGGTTTAAAACGAAATTCCCCCATGTTATACCCTAGTGGTTAACTGTGTGACGTACATCTTTTTTAAATTGAAGCCGTTCGAAGACATTAATTGTATGTTTTCGCAGGTCATTAATGCGTTTAGGAAGTTTTTGCACCTTTAAAATATTCCTAACTCAATTTAGTTATTGCAAAGCTAACTAAATCCACCTGGTGTTTCCACAAACGTTCAAAAAATAGTATATTTAAATAGTATATGAAATTTAAAGTATATTTTAAACCTGATATGAAGCTAAGCTTGTTCAAATGAGAAATGTCGATTTTCATTTGACAACTAGTCCCAGTCTTTTCCCGCTATCATAGTATTCGTGCATAATAAACAAAGGGCTTTTCGCATATAATTGTATCCCAGGGCCTGTAGTTAACTGCGTTAATTACACATTTTTTCAAAAGTAATGCGTTTGGGAAGTTTTCGCGCCTTTAAAATAACCCTAACTGCTGCGTAGGCCGCGTTTGATGGAAGCAGCCAATAAAAATCGTGTATAATAACATCCTATTTCTGCCAACTATAAGCTATAAAACAGGCTAGCCTCATAGGTGAGACTTAAGAGTTTCTTAAGCCATTTTACAAGGAAGATTCGGAGACGTAAATTTTGCATACTCTACCAACTAACATGGCTGGCTTCGATGTTGCTGTAGCGATATACGAATCTCAATTAAACTTTATTCTGTCCGAAGTCTACAATGCGCTTCATTCGACACTTCTCACAGGCAACATCGACGTCGGTGAAGCGGGCATCGCCTCCGTTGATTTCGACTTCAAGGTTGCTCCAACCGTCAGTTTACGGCCAAGTAATAAGGCGAAGCAACATATCAAGACCCAAATTAAGAATTTAAGGGGTCCCGATTTCGCTCTCCATGGCATGGCTTCGTCGGCGACCTTAACGATATCGGTTTCCAACGTCGCATTAAGGATTAATTACCAGAACGGTTCAGCGCCCACAATGATCCCAGCTGCTTCTCTTGTTGCTGATGCAAGCATTACAGTGGACGGCGATGACTCGGACCTACGCATCCGAATTCTCTGTGCGACTGTCAACGTTCCAAAAAACAAAGTCTTGACTCAGCTTCTTAACAACGCATTTATACCGTATCTGCTTGGCTATTTGAACAAGAGAGTCCTCGAACCAGTCAAGATACCACCAATTGGTTTCAAGTCCTTCAAGATCAGCACCCCCATTCCCGTGATACAAAATTCCTACTTCGAAGCATTCAGTTCGCTTGGTAGCACACCATCAGAGATTCCTGCCCCGTTTCCTTGGTCCAAGGATGGTGTATGTATCGCAGTCGATATTCCAGCGCTTGAAGCAGCCTCCAGAATCATTTTCCCTCTCGGACCCCAAGATAATTTCAATTGGGAGATTTTCTCTGGCCATATTGGTGCGACAGTCAATCCACCTGTCATCGCCAGCATCAATGAAGATGGAAGCATAAGTGCTTCGATTCAAGCAAACGCATCATGTCAACTCATAATGAAAACGCCTTGGCCACTTCCGAATATCACGTTTGGTCCAAGTGCAACTGCACAACTAGCCTGCACCCTTCGCCCAGTCGTTGACAATAGAGAAGTGAAAATTGTCATAGAAGGAATTCCTATCCCAACCTTTTCATTTGACTGGGGCATCCCTACCTGGATAAATTGGTTATTCTACCCCTTAGAAGCAGGTCTTGCCGCGGCTCTAAACGCTATTCTGGGTCCTCTGATAGGCGAATCGCTCAAATTCCCTGGAATACCCGTTTATTCACTTCCTAAAATCAACTTTAATTTTGGACGAGGGGCGAAGATAGAGATTAGCATCGATGAAGCGAAACCCAGTGGTGTCAACGGATTCCTCGTTCTTAATACCCAAGCAACTGTCTCCAAGTAATAATTACATCGTAATATACGAATTTGATCTTATAGTTGTTTAGTTTGTGCTAGTTTTTCATAAGATGTCCGAATCATTGATAACTAATTTGTCGTTTTCACCGCCTAAGCTACTGTTTCCAAGTATAATAACTATAGGCTATAAGTGCATGATAAATATACATCGCAATGTACGAGTATAATTTTAGTCTTGCAGTTCGTGCTAGTTTACTATAATTCACAAATGTGATTTTAGTTGTTCAGTTCACGCGACTGAATTGTATTTCAGCAATTAATAAATTAACCGTAATGTTTATCGTAATGTATGCAATGTTTTGACATCGTCTTTCACTCCTAAAGCAATTCAATAATTGGGTTTTTCCATTGGAGGCCTTTAGCTATAGGCGTTTACGACAACACTTCTTTCAATTGAAAAGGCATCCTTTACCCCCTTGCTTGCCCCGTTTAGGTGAAAATAAGGTGATAATGTATGTAAAATGCACTCAAATTATTGAGTACAAAACGATGCTTAATATCTGAGTAAAAATTACTCAGATGTACTACACTGTACTCAAAATTGAGTAATTTACTAATTTACTGGAAGCAATTTGTTTGAGGAACTAGAACTCATTTTTTGCAACACAGTGCTTATAATAAAGCCATAAAGTTGGGCTTTATTATAATTTATTTATCATCCGGTTACGTTTCCCCCCGGCACGTTTCTGGCAACAGTAAGTATTGAATATTGAAATGTTTAATCTTTGTTCATGCATTATCGGTATTTATTCATACACACTCGTTCCTACGTCTCGTCTCGCTGCAGTATTTACTTCCTTTTTCATGGAATGTCGCTGTGAATCCCATAAAAATATACTCATGCAGTCTTAATTCTTTCCTGCTCAATTGTGTACATTTATATATAGCCATATATTTTAAAGAATTCGTACAACATTTTCACAAACAAATAAAATATTTCATACCACGGATTTCTAAGCTTTCGATAGAATCACAACAATTTTGAAAGCAGGTATGTGTTTCGACAGATTTAAGTGAAGGAGGTCACTTAACACGTTATGTGACCTTGAAAGGCTATTATTTCAATGATGTAGACATGCAAAATACTTAGAATGCCCCTGCCAGCAAACATTTTTATTTGCGATATTAAAACTTAGCTATGATTTCTAGTGAATCGGTTTAAAATTTTTCGAATTTATTCAAAACGTTCCATATTTATGGCGGTTTCAATGGACCTTGAAATGGCCATCTTTGAAGCCAAATTTGAAAGTTCTGAGTTTTTGAATGTTTGAGACAAACGTAGAGAGTAATTATCTAGGAATGTCTAGAACTATGTAAAATACAACCATTTGCTAATTTTTATTGAACGAGGAACAGAGTCAAAAAATCAGTTTTTTCCTTCAATTTTTAGCTTCAACCAAGTATACGCTGAACTATAGAAGAAGTTATAGCGTTCCAGGTTTTATTACAGTTCACTGGTCTCAACACGCCTCTATGTAGCCTACAGAAGTTGTATTATATTTCGTGTTTTGAAGTAATGAACATTGGGTTGTTGATTAGGCAAATTGGTGTTAAAAGTGTTTGTGCGTTTTGCCTGCTATAGTTGGGATTAATGAGACGTTTAACCAGATGTTGTGGGAACAAATTGCGTTCTCGTTTGCAACTATACAACATTTCAATATTCAATTTGGATAAACGTACGAGCGAAAATTCTCTCAGCGACCTCCTTTTTTTACGAACTTGTACCAGTCCTTTAATTAAAACCAGGAATGATGGATCTGGAGGTTAGGGGAAGCTAACTGGCATGGTTAGCAGGAAAAAAGGACGCCTTTTCAATTAAAACGAGTATCGTAAACGCCTAGCATAAACCCAAAAGGAGGACAACAACCTTGTTCTAAAACCATTTTTATTTATTCACTCTTTGTTTATCTGAAAAACGACGTCAATTCATTCCCATCATTACAGTTAATTTGAATACCGATGTTAATTATTAATCATGTTGAGAATATCTCGAAATGAACAACTATAATCACATTTGTGTATTACGAAATATATTATCGTTTTTATATATTATAATCAATTTATAAATTAATTACTGATAATAGGTCATGTTGTGTAATTGCACCACTAAAATCACATTCGTCCATTGGGATGTATAGTAATTACTTGGAAACAGTAGCTAAGCCTGTTGGAAAGCAAATTAGTTACAGATAATTCTGTCAGTTTGTGAAAAAATCAGCGCTCACTTAACAACAAAGATGAAATTCGTACATACGATATATATAGTTATTGCTTGAAAACTGTTGCTTGGGCATTAATAACAAGGAAACCTTTAAGACCACTGGGTTTCGCCTGATCAATGCTGACCTTTATCTTCGCACCATGTCCAAAATCAACTTTAATATCAGGAATTGAATAAACGGGTATTCCAG